GACCTGAGCCCGGCGCAGGAGCCTGAATTTATAGACATCCGGGCGGCTGTCTTTAAAAGTCAGCCCTCGTGTTTTTTACTGTGTGCAGAGACGCACCCTGGGGAAACAGCGGCACTCCTATTCTGACACACAGTGAGCCAGTGTGGCATAGTGGTTAAGAGTGTCCAGCTAGTATCTGAAAAGTAAAGGTTAAGGTTTCCCTTGCTCGAAAGCCAGTCGAATCCGACTCTAGGGGGCGGTGCTCATCTCCACTTCCAAGCCGAAGAGCCAGCACTGTCTGAAGACTTCCCCATGGTCATGTGGCCGGGATGACTAGACGCCGAGGCGCACGGAACGCTGTGACCTTCCCACCGAAGCGGTACCTATTTATCGACTTGCAGTGTCTTGCTTTCTAACTGCTAGGTTGGCAGGAGCTGAAGCCGGAGACGGGAACTCACTCCGTCACGCGACACTCGGGTCTCGAACTGCTGAATTACCGGCCTTCCGGTCTGCAGCTCAGCATCTACCCCCCACTCATGCCGTGGAAGCAAACTCGGGTGACCACGGGCCAGACACACTCTCTCAGCCTAACCTACCTCACAGGGTTGTTGTAAGGATGAAACAGAGGAGGGGAGAGTGGTGTAAGCTGCTTTGGGGGGGGGCACTACAGAGGAAGGCCGGGCGTAAAGGAAGTCAATAAATAAAATGCTAGAGTTCCTCACTCAACAGGTGATAGCAGCAAAAATGTGTATCTGTCGGCACGTGTCTTCTGCCCCGTTATCAAACTGATGGTGTTGCAAAGAGAACAGGTCCATGTAGTTTTCTTCCTTGGTTCCCTCTTTGTCCCCCTCCCCATTCATCATGACAACCTCCCCCCCCCAGGAGGCGGGGGACCCCAAAGTCTGTTTTCTGGGCTGGTGTTGATTGGGGGTGGGGGGTGGGATTGAACCGCTGCCTGGCGTCCCCTTTGAGAACTGCTCTTGGTGCAGCTGGCTTGAACCCTGCGGTCGAAAGATGGGCCGAGACCCTACCGTGTCCAAACAGGAGGCGCCCGAGGGTCAAAGCGATTAAGCCGGCATGCCGTTCTGTTTGGTTGTTGCAGCCGGCCCGCCGTTTAAAGGTGTCGGGCCCTTTGGTCTCCAGCGTTGTTGTTTTCTGTAAGAATTTGAAGGAATAATCCCAGGAACGGGCTTGTAGACATTGAGCCCCCTCCTGCAAGCTGCACTCTGGGCCCTGAGGTGTTCTCCTCCTTCCCTGCCAGGGTTGCCAGTCTCCAGGTGGGGCCTGGAGATCTTCCACTTTTACAATTGATCTCCAGCTGACAGAGATCAGCCCCCCTGGAGAAAAATGGCTGATTTGAAGGGTGGACTCTATGGCATTGGACCATGCCGAGGCCCTTCCCTTCCCCCAAACCCCGCCCTCTCCCAGATCCACCCCCAAAGTCTCCAGGTATTTTCCAACCCATACCTGACAACCCTACCCCCTGCAAAATCATAGCTTGGCTGGAGCTACTCAGTAAGCCAAGCACTCTGGACATGTTCTAGCACCCTCATTTTTATGTATTCAGATGTGCCTTTGTTCTGGCTGGTGGGGATTTGCCTGTACCTAGCTGGGCTCCGGGTCGTCTCAGTCCCGTCCCGTCCCACTCGAGCATCAGTCACTGGTGGGCAGTGTTCCCTCTAAGCTGAGTTAGCATGAGCTAGTTCACAGGGTTTTTTAGCCTCCGGCTCACACATTTCTGTCTCAGCTCATGGAGGGATGGCTCCAGAGCAGTGTTCCCTCTAAGCTGAGTTAGTGTGAGCTAGCTCATCGTTTTTTAGCCTCCAGCTCACACATTTTTGTCTTCGCTCAGGAAGGAGGGCTCCAGAGCAAACTAATTTATGCAGCAGCCAAATCACTCACTCACAACTTTAATACGAATAGCTCACAAAGTAGAAATTTTTGCTCACAGGACTTCACAGCTTAGAGGGAACATTGCTTCAGAGCAGACTGATTTCTGCCGCAGCCAAATCGCTCGCTTGCAACTTTCGTGCCAGTGGCTCACAAAGCAGAATTTTTGCTCACGAGACTCCACAGCTTAGAGGGAGCATTGCTGGTGGGGTCTGTCAGAGATAAGCTCGGTGCAGGGTTTTATTTCTGCCTGGTAACTCGACAGAAGGAAGGCGCCTCCAAGCAGTTTCCTTTCTCCAGAACGTCTGGTCTAGCTCTCAGCCTTGCCCCGAGAGGAATAGCGTCTCGCGAGGGAAAACCGGCTTTTCTGCCTGACTCTGTGGCAGTCTTTCCTTGCCATTAGAAGGACATAGATACCGGTTGGGATGTCTCTGCAGGGTCAGCTGTGATTGATAAAAAGCACTCATCCCACCAGACTCATTGTTTATGCTCCCATTTACAGGCGCTTTTCACATGATTAAACGTAGAGTCCTCGATATTGAAACACAAAGGCTTTGCAGCTCAGCCAACAAAACATGTTTCCCCCCCCCTCCGAACTTTGAGTCGCCTCTTACAGTAGGCCGAATGGCCCCATGTCTATCTGGTATACAAGCACCGCAAGAGCGTAGATCAGTGGTGGCGAACCTATGGCACGGGTGCCAGAGGTGGCACTCAGAGCCCTCTCTGTGGGCACGCGTGCCATCGCCCCAGCCAGGCCCAGACCATCATTAAAGTGTCGAATCCTCTGCCAAATAATTTTAAATCAATGAAAGCATTTGGGATTGCTTTCCTTACTTTGTTTGGATCATCTTAAGTTTTTCTAAAGTGAAACCTCAGTATTCAGGTTAAATGGCCGTGTTGGCACTTTGCGATAAATAAGTGGGTTTTGGGTCACAGTTTGGGCACTCAGTCTCTAAAAGGTTCGCCGTCACTGGCGTAGAGCCTTTTCTCTAGCAAGATTCAATGTCATTCCATCAGCAATCTTGCATGGGAGATACAACAACATAGTATATGCGGATAGACTTTGCCCCTGCAATTCTGGGTGCATTGAATCTGTTTCGCTTATTTGTCTGCATTGTCAGCATTATGTGGTTTTACGTCCTGGGTATTTAAATCCCATCGTAGCCCACATGACGAACCTTTCTGACACCTTAAACGTGCACCGTCCTCTGAGTGACTCCGATCCAGAAATATCAATGAACGTAGCCGTGCTCTTACAGTCAGTGATAAAACTACGTCAAGTCAATTTCCAATGAGGAAATGTTTTATGCAACATTATGTTTTACTAGAAATAAGGCCCGTTGTGGAAGTAAATACAACAGGATCTAGAAAGAGGCGCTGGGGCGGGGGCGTGGGTTTGTGTGAGTTTCCTGTGGCGACCTCAGCAGGGTTTAATGACAGAGTCCACTGTTTTCTCCAGAGGGACTGATCTCTGCTAGCTGAAGAGCATTTGTATGTTTGAGTTATCTGTAGCCCTCACCTGGAGAGTGGTAACCATTGTTACCCATTCTCCTCTCCCCTATGAGGTATGTTATGCAACTGAAAATCCCAACTGCCTTGTGGGGGGGGGAGTTTGAGGTGTGGAATGGAGTGAAGTCCAATCAGCTTCCATATGCAAAAGACCAGGTTGTCGCAGCAGTTGTGGTGTGGGCGGGACCCGGGCTTTGCCTTCTGATTGGTGGCGATATATGCTGAGGAGCAGTGCCATCAGCCATACACTAAGGGAGTGCATTTTAGAATTAGAACTTTGGCACCCACTATTCAATTATATATAAGGAGAGATATGTTTGGCTGTATATGGTTTTTAATGTATATTTCTTATTTATAGTAATCCTTTTAAGGTATCTTATGCCAATAAGGGTTAACCGAATCGATAAAAAGCACTGGCTTTATCCAAAACGTGTTGCTCAGAACGAAATAGAGAAGCACGTCCCGTCCCCCCACCCCCCCAATGGCCTGCGAGGACAGCCTCTGCCTTCCCAACTAGTGTCCCTTTTATTTTGCCTGGGTTTGACTTCAGTTTGGTGAGCACCCTGATTGTGGGTAAAAGAAAAGGAGAGTCCAGTCCGGGACCAGCAAAACACTGCAGGGTATGAAGATCCAAAAATATAGAAGCTGTAATGATGTATAAAATGCTTATAGTGATAGTGTCGCTTCTTATTCCACAATGTGTACTAGCAGTGTGTACTAGCAGTGTGCCCGTTGATGGAAGGGTTTGTTACGTAAGAACATGTTCAACCTATAGGATATTAGTACCTTTGTATTGGATTTTCGCATTATGGAATAAGAAGCAACACTATCACATCTTGATGTTTGGAAGAAGTTCTTCACGAAACGAATGCCAACACTCCGGAGAAGTTTGTCCATCTTTCTGATAAAAAGGTAAAGGGTAAAGGTGCCCTTCCTCGAAAGCCAGTCGAGTCCGACTCTAGGGTTGCGGTGCTCATCTCCGTTTCAAAGCCGAAGAGCCAGCGCTGTCCGGAGACGTTTCCGTGGTCATGTGGCCGGCATGACTAAACACCAAGGCGCACGGAACGCTGTGACCTTCCCACCGGAGTGGTACCTATTTATCTACTTGCAATTTCTTGCTTTCGAACTGCTAGGTTGGCAGGAGCTGGAACTAGAGACGGGGGCTCACTCCATCATGCGGCAACTCGGGTCTCAAACTGCTGAACTACTGACCTTCCACAGCCTGCAGTTCAGCGTCTTAACCACTTGAGCCACCGCAGCTCCTTCTTTCTGATACCTGTTTGGGAATTAATATTTTTCAATTGGTTCATTTTTGTGTCATTATTGTGAGATTATAAGCGTTTTGTACATCATTACAGCTTCTATATTTTTGGTTCTCTACACTAGCTGTAACCCCTCAGTTTTGTTGGGTATGAAGATCCAGCATCGGACCTCTTAACAGGGTGGCATTTAATGGGTAGGACATAAAACATTCTTGGGACACAGGTTGTGCCTGCATTGCATCGTGTTTGTTAAGCTGCTTTGCCATCGTCCTTCGAGCAGATCTGTGCTAGGCGAGGGCACCGATGTCGAGAGCGACTTAACGAGAGTCAAAAGAATAACCCGATCTCTTTTCTCTGCAGATTCCGGATGAATTCGACAACGGTGAGTGGACAGATTTTATTTATTTCTTTTATTCAGTGTATGCCCCGCCCTCCCCGCTAAGGCAGGCTCCGGGCGGCTTTTAAGATCTTTCAAGCCACTGCTGCTGTTCTCGTTTTTTAATGTGGCCTTGATGCGCTGGACTTGGGGGACTGAGGCCGATGCGGTGGGTAGAATGGGGGAGCAGGAAGACCCAACACTGTGTAAACGGAAGAGCACTAGAAAGTTGTTTTGGTAGAACTGCAGAGGTCCTCTTGCGTCCCGGGAAGACCATAAAAGCCAGAAATGCCAAAGCACGGTTTGCCCCGGGGGCATTTATACCCCCCACGTTTCAGCTCGGGGGCATCTTACGAAAGGGACGTGTAAAAACAAAATAAAATAACACAAACGAAGCCACGGTTTTGTAGAATTAGCCACAGAGTTTTTTAAAAAAACGTAAAGAGCAGGGCTAAAGCTATGGGGAAAGGACCTTAAAGACCTTGAGAATGGAGGAAGAATGGACCTTTCCTTGTGCCCGGGTGCTAAACTGCTCCGACTTGGATGGCTCAGGCTAGGTTGATCCCATCAGAGCGCAGATCCGGAGCTAAGCAGGGTCGGCCGTAGTCAGTATTTGGATGGGAGACCTCCAAGGAAGCCCAGGGTCACGACCCGGAGGCAGGCAACGGCCAACCGCCTCTTAAGGAACATAAGAGCATCAGGAGAAGCACTGCAGGGTCAGACCAGGGAGGGTCCCTCTAGTCCAGCCTCCTGCCTCACACAGGGGCCAGCCAGTTCCTCTGGAAGGCCAGCAACAGGGCAGGGAGGCCAAGGCCTTCCCCTGATAAGAACATCTGAAGAGCCCTGCTGGATCAGACCAGTGAGGGTCCACCTAGTCCAGCATCCCACCTCACACAGGGGCCAGCCAGTTCCTCTGGAAGGCCAGCAACAGGGCAGGGAGGCCAAGGCCTTCCCCTGATAAGAACATCTGAAGAGCCCTGCTGGATCAGACCAGTGAGGGTCCACCTAGTCCAGCATCCCACCTCACACAGGGGCCAGCCAGTTCCTCTGGAAGGCCAGCAACAGGGCAGGGAGGCCAAGGCCTTCCCCTGATAAGAACATCTGAAGAGCCCTGCTGGATCAGACCAGTGAGGGTCCACCTAGTCCAGCATCCCACCTCACACAGGGGCCAGCCAGTTCCTCTGGAAGGCCAGCAACAGGGCAGGGAGGCCAAGGCCTTCCCCTGATAAGAACATCTGAAGAGCCCTGCTGGATCAGACCAGTGAGGGTCCACCTAGTCCAGCATCCCACCTCACACAGGGGCCAGCCAGTTCCTCTGGAGGGCCAGCAACAGGGCAGAGAGGCCGAGGCCTTCCCCCGAGAAGGACATCAGAATGTGTGTGAGCCGGAGGCTAAAAAAAAACCTGTGAGCTAGCTCACACCAACTCAGCTTAGAGGGAGCACTGGGTGGCGGACAGGGAAAGTGGAAACTCCTCGGAAGCCTCGCCAGGGGAGTGTTACTTCCTTGACTTGTTAAATCAGCTAGTGAGGGAATGGCCAAAGAGACGAAGGCGGGTGGTGGTGGTGACTGAGAGATTGGAACGCTGGGTTTAACCAGCGTCGGGGATGCGTGGAAAGGGGGCGGCTGCGTCAGGAGCAGATGTCCTGGTGCATAGAAGAGCGTGCGTGCCCCCTTGCTAAGAACAGAAGGTCAGGCAGACCTTGTGTCGGGAGGGAGAGCTTAACAATGCCTCTCGGTTCCACAGACATGCGTCCCTGGGTGTAGCTGGAGGCGAAAAGCCGTGGCCGCCGGTACGGCGGTAATGAATGGAAAGCCGAGGGGGCCTTTGGTGGTGGGGAGGGAGGCCTCTGCATGTCCCTGGGGGAAGCGAGCCATAGGCATTCCAGATGTCCTCCGTAGCTATTCCATTTTTAAAGGAGGAGGCAGGTGGAGCGGCAGATTTCAGGGGGAGTGGGGGAGGGACAACCAGGCTCCGAAGGCATCTTGATATCCCCCCCTCCCTTTATATCGGGTTTTCGGCCTCTCCTTGTTCCATCCCGCTTTGTCGGCCAGAAACGGCAGGCCGGGTGGGTTTGCCCCTGTCTCAAACCCAAGCCCGAACCGGGGCCCGTCACTCGTAGCACTTGTGTTGGGGTTTTTTTGACGACTTCAAAGGGATCGAGCGACCCAGTAGATTATTAATCTGTAGATCCGTGTGTGGCAGAGAGTCCTCACACAGCTGAGTTTGAACTTCTTTTGGCCAGGCCGTACATTTCGGTGTGTGTGTGTGTTTTTTAAAGAATGCCTTTTGCAGTTCAGGGCCAAGTTGGGGGGGTGGTAGCAGTTCCGCTGGAATCCCGTGCCACGGAGGGCCAGATGGAACTTTGCACCCACCGCTTTCGGAAAAGCAGATTGTCCAGTTAGTAAAACTTGGGGGCCGGGGTGTGTGTGTGTGTGTGATGTAGGAAACCAGTGGGGAGGGGGAGAACAGCTTTGGGCAGGGGGCTTTCAGGAGGGTTTTTGCCTGGGATAGGAAGCGCCTTTCACCAGCTCTTTTCAGCCGGCCTGGCATATGCTCTCGACAGATTAAAAGGCATTCTCCGCTCGCGGCCTCATTGTTCGCCACAATGGATTTATTCTTCCCCACCACCACCACCCCCAGACCCCATCGCGGGCTCCCTCCTCCTTCCCTTCCCTTCCAGATTTTCAGCTAAACTCTTCAAGCGCATCGCTCTTTGATGCGAGGGTTGTACAGATTGCTGTTAACACGTTTTTGTTTAACCACGTCCTAGTGCCCGTGTCCTAGTGCCCATGTGTGCCGAAACAGCTCTTTCCAGTCTTTTCTTTCCACTGTGCTCGCTCGTTTAACTGGGCCTACTGGCATCGACACTGAGGCATCTCTTACCGAGCTCACGTTGCCCAAGGGAGACCCTGTGGGATTTTTTTTTAAATGCACATGAGGCAGCCTTATACGGATTCAGACGCTTGGACCATCAATGTCAGGATTGTCTACTCAGACTGGCAGCTGCTCTCAGGCGGAGGTCTTTCACATCATCTACAACCTGATCCTTCCTGGAAACAAGAACACAAGAGAAGTCGATGTTGGATCAGGCCAATGGCGCCCATCCAGTCCAACACTCTGTGTCACAGTGGCCAAAAATACCAGGGGCCATCAGGAGGTCTAACAGCGGGGCCAGAACTCCAGAAGCCCTCCCACTGTTGCCCCCCAAGCACCAGAAAGACAGAGCATCACTTGCCCCAGACATAAGAAACATAAGAGAAGCCAATGTTGGATCAGGCCAATGGCCATCCAGTCCAACACTCTGTCACACAGTGGCCAAAAACACCAGGTGCCCTCAGGAGGTCCAGCAGTGGGGCCAGGACTCCAGAAGCCCTCCCGCTGTTGCCCCCCCCCAGCACCAAGAAGGCAGAGCATCACTGCCCCAGACATAAGAACATAAGAGAAGCTAGTGTTGGATAAGGCCAATGGCCCATCCAGTCCCAACACTCTGTGGCACTCAGGTGCCATCAGGAGGCTCAGCTGTGGGGCCAGGACACTAGAAGCCCTCCCACTGTTGCCCCCCCAAGCACCAAGAATACAGAGCATCCCTTGCCCCAGACTGAGAGTTCCTGTCTATACCTTGCGTCTAATAGCCACTGATGGACTTCTGCTCCGTATGCTTATCTAATTCCCTCTTGAAGCTGTCCATGCTTGTAGCACCCACCACTTCCTGTGGCAGTGAATTCCAGGTGTTAATCACTCTTTGGGTGAAGAAGGACTTCCTTTTATCTGTTCTAACCCGACCGCTCTGCAGTTTCATGGAGCGCCCACGAGTTCTTGTATTGTGAGAAAGGGAGAAAAGTACCTCTTTCTCTACCTGCTCTTTCCCATGCATAATCTTATAAACCTCGATCATGTCTCCCCTCAGCCGTCGTTTCTCCAAGCTAAAGAGCCCGGAGCGCTTTAACCTTTCTCCATAGGGAAAGTGTTCCAACCCTTTTATCATTCGAGTTGCCCTTTTCTGCACTTTTCCCAATGCTATATGATATCCTTTTTGAGGTGTGGTGGCCAGAACTGCGCACAGTACTCCAAATGAACCTGGGACCTTCTGCATGCCAAGTAGATGCTCTGCCACTGAGCCACGCCCCCATAGCATTTATATGGGGGCTGGGAATTGCATTCCTTCATCAAACCTATCCTCAAATAGCAACTTTGCTTAAAGATGTATGGAGGGAGCTGTCCCTGAAGTATCGAAGAAATCCCTGTTACCATGATTGAAGGTGGCAGGTCTGTTCTCTTCTTGGTTGTAACCAAATTAATACCCTGGGCCAAGGGAAGGCAAACACTATCTAACATCAGTGATTGAACTACTGCCTGCTCTCTCCTGATACCACTGCACGTATTTCAAGTGGACAGGAAAAATCCGAAAGTCCTTTTGTTGCGTTTTTACAAAGCAAACAAAACTGGAGCAAAGCGTCCGCTTTTGAAGCAAAGTGACTTTCCCCGGCACTTCCAGAATCCTTCATCAGATGTTGTCCCAAGTCATCCTCTGCAGTCTTGACAAAGGCTGACATTTGGAAAGGCCTAAAAACGACTCCCGGTGCGTAAAAGCTCAGAAGGACACTTCCATAAATCTTTATTCCTATTGCCGCCAACTGGCAAAAAAATAAAATAAATAAAAATAAAGGCTCCTAGCAGAGGGTCTCTCCAGCCAAATTCCACCAAATAAGCCTCCGGTTGACACCTGAATCCCCCTCGCTGCGTTGGGGGGGGGGCCTGCCAGTCCTCCACCACCCCAGCTGCTCAGCTCGGATTATCATAACAATCGCCCCCCCCAAATTACGCCCCATTCAGCACACACCCGCCTTTGATTGATTAACTTACAGTTTCTTGTTTGAATAACCCTGGCCGCTAAGATGCCAAAGCCGTAGTCTCAGAGGGATACGTAACGGGGCTGGCGTGGGGGACCGTGGTCTCGCTCACACGCTCTTTCTTCTCCAGTCTGACCCCTGCTTAAGCAAGCTGGTAATTGAAGAATCCATTAGTATTCTTTTGGAAGGGCCGTGGAGGGCTCTGCATATGTTCAGGCTGCATCAGATGGTGGTGGGGGGGGATGAGGCGGGTAGATGTGCTGGAACGGCCAGCCCACCCCGCTCACTTAATACCTGTTTGCATGTACGTTTTTTTGATCTTTCGCCAGACTTCCTGCTTTTTCCGTCCGCTGTCATATTAAACTAAACGTCCTTGTCCTTGCTTCTGGCTCCGGAGGAACAATTTTTCCTCTTGGTTTTTAAGACGTTAATGGTTTGCAAGCATACGAACTGTTTTGGAATGAGTTTGACTGGAACAATTCCCACACACACGCACGCACACACACCCCTACGCACACTGGAGAGGCTGCATTTTGGAACTTTTAAAAAAATTACGAAATATTTCACTGTATTGAGACCCAATTAGTCAATGTTTTTATAAATTATCTCTGTACAAGACTCAAATTGAAGAAATAATTTGAAACGGATCCAATTGCAGGTGCCAGTTTGTTGGATAAAGCCTCCTTAGGGCCTGTGTTGAATTTTTCTTTCCTCTTCTCTCGAGCCAGTTTGGTGTCGTGGTGAAGTGCGCGGACTCTAATCTGAGAGAACCGGGTTGGATTCCCCACTCCTCCACTTGCACTTGGCTGGATGACCTTGGGCAAGCCGTAGTTCTGATAAAAGCTGTTCTTGAAAAAGAGCAGTTTCTGTCCAGAGCTCTCTCAGCCCCGCCTGCCTCACAGGGTGTCTGTTGTGGGGGAAGGGAAAGGAGTTCGTAAGCCGCTCTGAGACACCTTTGGGTAGTGAAGGGCGGGGCATAAATCCAATCTCCTCCTCCTCTTCTTCTGCCCAGTTTGGTGTAGTGGTTAAGTGCGCGGACTCTAATCTGGGAGAACTGAATTTGATTCCCCACTCCTCCACATGCAGCTGCTGGTGTGACTTTGGGTCAGTCACAAGTTCTCTCGGTGCTGTTCTCTCAAGGGCAGTTCTCAGCTCTCTCAGCCCCACCTACCTCACAGGGTGTCTGTTGTGGGGAGGGGAGGGGAAAGGAGTTTGTAAGCCTCTCTTGACACTCCTTTGGGTAGTGAAGGGTGGGATGTAAATCTAATCTCTTCTTTTCTTCTTTATTTAGCTAATTTTTTGTTATAGTTTTTATATCGCACTGTGATGAAATAAGTTACGTCTTGCAAAATCGGTTGTCGAAGGCCTTTTTTCTAATCAGACATAAACATTTCCTATTAATAAAGGGTTTTTTTATTTTTTTTTAAAAAAGATCTTTTTGGTCTCTGAGGTGCCGCTGGGCTTGTGGATCAAGCCGTTCCCAAGAGGCTTTTCTCCGATGGAGGTCATGACAATTAGAACGGCTTAAACGTCTTGTGCCTTTTGAGAGTGAGACCTGGAGAGGGTGTGTTTTTGGCAGGGGGGGGGGGAAGTCCTTCAAACGTAAGGCCTGGGATGGCCCCAAAGCACATCCGCGTTCTCATTTCCAGCAGTGTCTGATGCTGGCCCAGGTGTGACCAGTCCTCTTCTTTGGCTTTCAGATCCCGTGGTGATCCAGCAGCTCCGGAGGGCCTACAAATACTTCAAAGATTACAGGCAGGTGAGTGGGCGTAAGCGCTTTCTCCAAGGGCACTTTTCACACACACACACACACACACACTATAACGCACTTTCAGTCCGCTTCCCAGTGCCCTTTACAACTGGGTTTTACTGGGTGAAAATGTCCAAACCCAGTTGCAAACGGTCGCTGAAGCGGATTGAAGCCGCGTTACTCAGCCCGTGGGAAAGCGCCCCAGATCTCATCCTGATTCTCCTGAAAGAGGGAAAACTCGTGTGTCAGAGGGAGCCAAGCTCTAATCAGACATTAAAAAATGTGTGTCTTGGAATCATCAGTGGGTTGTATTTCCGCAAGGGGGGTAAATCGCTCACATGAAGCTGCCTTAAAACCGAATCAGACAGTCAGTCCGTCATCGGTTTCTCAGCAGTGTTCTCTCTAAGCTAAGTTAGTGGTGAGCCGGCTCACAGTTCTTTAGCCTCCAGCTCTCTTACAGATTTTCGTCTCCGCTCAGGGAGGAGGGGCTCCGGAGAAAACTGATTTATGCAGCAGCCAAATCGCTCGCTTCCAACTTTAATGCCGGTAGCTCACAGAGTAGAATTTTTGCCCCACAAGACTCCGCAGCTTAGAAGGGAGCATTGTTTCTCAGCGGGGCGGCTGAGCGTAGAAGGTTTATGCCACGCTTTTCGACTGCGTGGCTGCTTATCCACGGTTTAGAACCACTTTGAGCTTTTCGCCCCCTCCCTTTATTTTTATTTTTTTCTTAACACTTTCTGAGGATCAGACTCTAGGCCAGGGGTGGCCAAACTTGCTTAACGTAAGAGCCACAGAGAATAAACGTCAGATGTTTGAGAGCCGCGAGACATGAACAAACATTACACGTTTTTACTGGGAAATATGCAGATTTGCTTTTCATGAACATTAAATGAAACTGCCAAAAATAATAGCAAAAGCGGTAAAAGCAGATATTGATAATGATATTTATTTGTCCAGTGATAGCTGCGTTGGCTCAAGTGGTTAAGACGCTGAACTGCAGGCTGTGGAAGGTCAGTAGTTCAGCAGTTCGAGACCCGAGTGTGCCGCATGACGGGGTAAGCTCCCGTCTCTAGTTCCAGCTCCTGCCAACCTAGCAGTTCGAAAGCAAGACATTGCAAGTAGATAAATAGGGACCGCTTCGGTGGGAAGGGAACAGCGTTCCGTGCGCCTTGGTGTTTAGTCATGCTGGCCACGTGACCACGGAAACGTCTTCGGACAGCGCTGGCTCTTTGGCTTGGAAACGGAGATGAGCACCGCAACCCTAGAGTCGGACTCAACTGGCTTTTGAGCAAGGGAACCTTTACCTTTACCTTATCTATTCGCTGACGTTATTTGGCTTCTCCAGCCGCCCTGCCGGGAGCTGCACAATATGTGTGAAAGAGCCGCATGCGGCTCCTGAGCCACAGCTTGGCCACCCCTGCTGTACTAGGTTTTCCCAGGAGCCGTTCTTCAGGAATCGGATCAGCTTTGGGGGAGAAAAGAAAGCCTGTTTTTGCAAATGACGCGGTTGCCTCAGGGTGGATTGGGGGCCGAGCAACACATATTATCTAGTCAGTCTTTTGGCCGGCAAAAAGAAGCAGCAGCAGCAAGAGGAGGAGGAGGAGGAGGAGGAGATTGGATTTGTATTCCGTCCTTCACTACCAAAAGGAGTCTCAGAGCGGCTTACAGTCTCCTCTCCCTTCCCCTCCCCACAACAGACACCCTGTGAAGTAGGTGGGGCTGAGAGAGCTCTCTCGAGGACTGCTCTTGAGAGAACAGCTCTGAAAGAACTTGTGACTGACCCAAGGTCACACCAGCAGCTGCACGTGGAGGAAGAGTGGGGAATCAAACCTGGTTCTCCCAGATTAGAGCTACTCTGTTGGGCTGACTTGTGCTCCCCCATCTCCCTTGGACAACAACTCCTTGTTGTCGCGGTTCCCAGCGGATGCTCGGGTGGCGTTGTGCTGCTTGGGCAGGAGCTCACACTTGGCCATACGGCAGCCTGGCGCTGGTCGTATCCCCCCCCCCTCAGCTGTCAGGGTGATAAACTCACAGGCCTGACCTCTCCCCCTCCGCAGCGCAAGCTGTTTTCAGTCAAACAGCTTTGCTC